AACAAATTCACTAATTTGTTCTTTCTTTTGAGGATAAAGAGTAACCTTATAAACTCCCTATTTTTTCTGGGCTAAACTAGAACCTTTCCCTAGCTTTTAAACGGGATAAGCTAGAACCTTTCCTCTTTACAAAAGGATAAGAAATGTAAACAAGAAAACCTATCTAAGGTAGGTGTTTACAAGAATTAAGCATACAAGAACAAAGCATTTACAAGAGAAAGATGAAATAAGAATGAAAAACTCTTCTCTTGTGTTTGATTTCTTTGATAGTTGTTCTCTTACTTCTTCAAGTATCCTTAGCTTGTATTTATAGCTTGGAATGTGTTTGAAGTCGTATATAGCCGTTGGGGATGTTTTGGAGCCGTTTGGAGATGAGAAACCATTAATAAAACAACTTGGAGCGTGGGGGAATCGATACTCCCTCATAGGGAATCGGTTCCCTAATTACAATCTGTTTTCGACTGTTAGACAGGGGGGAATCGGTACCCCCTGGGGGGAATCTGTACCCCCTGGACATTCTGTAAAAACCTGTAGGGGGAAATCTGTACCCCCTGGACAATCTGATTTTTCTTGAAACGGTTCGAAATACTTTGTAAAATTGTTTTAAAAATAGTTTAAGTATAAAACACAATTTTACACTTTAGTAAGGATTAAAATGAAATTTGAGAGACTTGGAGTAATATTTTGATATTCGAATTATTACATCGAATATACTTAGAAAATCTTTTGTAAAATCTTAAAATTCATTTAACTTAATTTGTTATATCGAAACATCAAAATGTTTTCAACAATCTCCCCCTTTTTGATATAACAAAACATTTTAGTAATTTTAAGATTTTGAAATTAAACACGTTTGAAAAATTACTCTCCCTTACTTTAACACTTCTCCCCCTTTTTGTTAAATCAAAAAGACTCTAATCTTTGAAGTTCAAAATAACTTTGGAGAGTAAGTAGTAAATTTGACATTTTAAAAATCATTTGGAAAAAAAAAATCAAAGCTCCCCCTCAATAATAGCATTCCAAACAAAATTTAGCTTTTAATATCATGACACTTAAATAAAATTGAATTTCAACAAAGAATAACAAACATGTTAGTAGCACATGAAATGCAATACATCCAAGTCTAAAATACTTTATGCAATACCAATTGTTGAATTTAATATCATATGCATAAAGTTTTCTAAAAATGTTATGCATTTGAAAAGTTTTGATATCAATTATTTTCATTTAAACCACATGCATAAACATTCAAATTTAGGTCAAAAATTTTAAAGATTTATAAAATCAAAGTATTTGAAAAGTTGATATCAATTGTTAGAGAGATATCATTTATATTTAAAACTAATTTTGACCAAAATTTTATTATGATGAACTAAAAATTCTGAAAAATCATTACAACTTTAAAATGTTCATCATAATCATCTTTTCAACATACATGAGATTAAAACAATGATGCATAATCATTTAAAACCAAAACTCATGCATGCTTAAAATCAAATGAGCAACCAAATAACCAAATAACCAAAATTAAAAGTATTAAGCTTAGAGGTTACCCATTCCTTTTTCATGTGTGGCTAGAGCATCTTGAATATCATCATTTTCATCACCATTGCTCCCACACACCTACAAGAGACATTTAAGTAGATTTTGGTATCCAAATTACTTTGGATCCTTGGACGTTAGTTTCAATGCCCCTTGTTCCTTTCGGAACCCATACTTGCCTAATTTTAAAACGTTTTCCTTTCTTCAAAGGACAAGTATGTTCCATATGGCCATGATAATGACAATGTGAGCATATTGTTATTATTGAACTAAATGAATTATTTAAAATGATTTCTTTTTCTTTTGTTAAGCATTCAAGCTTAACTTTTAAATCAAAATTTTCTTTTTCAAAACTATCAAATTTTATTTTTGAAAGCTCTAAATCATTTTTCAAAATTTCATTTTGGCTTTCAAAATCTATTTTTGTTTTCAAAAGAAAATCGTTTTCGATTTTAAATTTTGAAATTATTTTCTTATATTTGGAGTTCATGGTCTCAAACTCCGAATATAACCTATTAAAAGCATCTTGTAACTCATCAAACGTATATGAATTAAATTCATTAGAGTTAGAAGATACCTCGGGCTCTTCATAAGCCATTAGAGACACCACCTTTGTTGGTTCTTCTTTCTTGTTTCCATGGATTTCCTCTAGCTTATTCCAAATCTCCTTGGCACTTGAACATGAAGAAACCCCTTCATAGATTTCATGACCAAATGCACAAAATAGCATGTGCATGGCCTTGGCATTAAGTTGAGCTTTCTTCCGTTCTTTGTCACTCCTCTTCTTCTCCTTCTTCTTTGGTGAAAAGTAGCCATTTTCGATTATCTCCCATGCATCAAGATCATTGGATTGAATGAATACCTTTATTAATTTCTTCCAATGATGATAGTTGACTCCATTGAAGTATGAAGGTTTGTTGGTTGGTAGGGAGTCTTCCATGTGGAACGAACCGGAGGTGGAAGCCATCTTCTCGGTTGTGTCAGGAATTGGTAGAGCTTCTTTAAGGATTGTCTCAAGGTGGTTAAACCTTCTTAACGAGTTAGGCTCTGATGCCAATTGTTGGGATTTTCGGAAGCTCGAATCGACAACAGGAACAGTTTGCAAAGAGGGGTCGGAATGGTTTTATGTTTAGGGAGTAAGGAGATTGAAAGATAGAGAATTGCACAGCGATTTATAGTGGTTTGACTTTCTCAACCAAAGTCTACGTCCACTACTTTAGCTCCTCACTAAGGATTTTCCAACAAATTCACTAATTTGTTCTTTCTTTTGAGGATAAAGAGTAACCTTACAAACTCCCTAGTCTAGAACCTTTCTCTAGCTTTAAAATGGGATAAGCTAGAACCTTTCCCCTTTACAAAAAGATAAGAAATGTAAACAAGAAAACATCTCTAAGGTAGGTGTTTACAAGAATTAAGCTCACAAGAACAAAATATTTACAAGAGAAAGATGAAATAAGAATGAAAAACTCTTCTCTTGTGTTTGATTGCTTGGATAGTTGTTCTCTTACTTCTTCAAGTGTTCTTAGCTTGTATTTATAGCTTGGAATGTGTTTGAAGTCGTATATAGTCGTTGGGGATGTTTTGGAGCCGTTTGGAGATGAGAAACCATTAATAAAACAGCTTGGAGCGTGGGGGGAATCGGTACCCCCTCATAGGGAATCGGTTCCCTAATTACAATCTGTTTTTGACCGTTAGACAGGAAGGAATTAGTACCCCCTGGGGGGGAATCTGTTCCCCCTGGGGGGAAATCGGTACCTCTGGGGGGGAATCTGTACCCTCTGGACAATCTGATTTTTCTTGAAACGGTTCGAAATACTTTGTAAAATTGTTTTAAAAATAGTTTAAGTATAAAACGCAATTTTACACTTTAGTAAGGATTAAAATGAACTTTGAGAGACTTGGAGTAATATTTTGATATTCGAATAATTACATCGAATATACTTAGAAAATCTTTTGTAAAATCTTAAAATTCATTTAACTTAATTTGTTATATCGAAACATCAAATGCTAAACGAACGAACACAAACCAAACAATAACATCTTTAAAAGTAAATAAGCGAACACTAATACATTACACAACTTTATTCGCTGATTCATGTACACCCCTAACACCACACTAAGTAGCTCTTTTTTATGCTACACTAAGTTGCATATTTTTTTAAATTTTTAATAACTTTGCATTTATGACACATTTTTCTTTGTCTTTATGACACATTTTCGGTTGTTTGGTCATTGTTTTGTTTATCCTTTTTCTCAGGGTTGGATTTGACATCTCCACGATCGATCAATATGTCGCTTATTTGTTATCATCCTAATCTTCTCTACTTTGAAGTCTCGTATTGGATTTAGATACGTGATTTGCGTTTGTGGATAGTTTTTTCACGCCGCTCGACTAAGTAAAAAAGTGAGATTGAGAAAATTAAGGGTCTCAATTATAAAGGTAAAAATTGAGATTGAAAAAATTAGGAGCCTCAATTATAAATATAAAAAGTGTGATTGAAAAAATTATGGGCCTCAATTATAAAGAGAAAAATAAAATTAAAAAAATTAAGGATCTCAATTATACAAATAAAAAATAAAATTAAAAAAATTAAGTACATCAATTATAAGATAAAAAGTAAGATTGAAAAAAATTGAGGCCCTATAAAAAATGGGGGCTCTTAGTGGTTGCTTAGGGTGCTCTCTTTAATAGCCAACTCTGATTATACATAGGTGTATTCAGTTCGTTTATGTTTACAAGCAAGTTCCTTTATATGCTCGTTTATCGTCTAGTTCGTTAATGTTCATTAACAAGCTCATTTAATAACTCGTTTACAATCTCGTTTACAATTGATTTTTTAAATTTCAGATATTGGTGAATATATATATTAAATTGAACACATTATGAAATTTAGAGTTTAAACTATGAAATTTAAGGAGTTTAAGCATTAGTAGCGTAATTTTATCATTTTTAGCTTGCAAATGAAAATATTCATGAGTACTAAATGAACTTATTTGCGAACAACACTAAACAAACACATAAACAAATATGTTCACGAATGTTAATTGAACATGTTCACGAATGCTAAACGAACAAACACGAACCGAACAATAGCACCTTTAAAAGTAAATAAACGAACACGAACACAACCTTATTCGCTCACACTTAGTTCATTTACACTCCTAACACTACACTAAATAACTCTCTTTTTATGTCCTCTTAAACTATAAAATATTGGTATTTTTAGCATTCAATCTTACCAACATTTATAAATTTGCCTCACTTTTATAATGGATGGATTAATATGCTCCTAAAACTATTCTACAAGGACTAATTTGTGAATTTAAACGAAAGTATAAAAAGAAAACTGAAAATGTAGAAGCAAGACATTAAGAATGAAAACTAATCATTCGGAATAGAAATCTTCTCTCCAACTAAATAAATTCGTTATTTAATTTGTGATTATTATATAGACTAATTACGCGATCATCTTCACACCATATTCCATAGCATCATTGTATTTCTCATCGATTATCCTTTTTCCCCGTTGCTCAACCGTATCGGACCCTACTGGCTGCATGCCGTTTACGTAACGATACGGCCACAATAACACCGCCACGGCAACAGCTCCGAAGCTGCATGCTGACAAGAACCCGGCGATGCTAACAAACAGCACGGCGCCAATAGGGAACCACACGGGGCTAGAAACCAAGATCAACGGCATGAAAAAGATGAACCCGAGAATGGTGGCGGTGGCGGAGAGGCCGGTGAGAACTATGAGAATGGAGGCAAGAATGAAGAGGGTGATGAAAAGGAGAAGTTGACCGTAGTCTGGTGCAAGGGCCTTGAGTTTCTGTAACAAAGTACTGGACTTGGAACTCTGGTGGCTTGGACGATGATCGGCCATGGTTGGGAGGTTGAAGGAGAAAGGGTGAAAAGGAATGAAATGATATAGGAGGAGAAAAGAACGGAGACCATTGATTGACCTTTTCTTTTTGAGTACATTCATAATCATGGATGGTGGGTGTTTAACTCTTTATTAAGGGTATTATCTACTTTATTTTGAGATAATGGTTGCTTTTGCCCTAAAAATTGGATATCCTCACTTTATTCGATCTTTATTAACTCAAAATTTTAAGTATGTAATACATTTAATTATTTTTTAAGTTTTATAATCAAAATCATATTACTAATTTGCTATGAAAATGATTCACATTTCGATCTGTTTGATTTTAATCATTAATTTAATAAAAATTAATTTGGATCTCTTATGTTTATGGTTAGTTTAATTTTGATCCTTCAAGCATTAACTTTTATTAATCTAATAAGAAATTTGACTTTGACATTTAAATAATAAAATAAAAACCACTTAAATGATCGTACGTATTTTAGTCATTAATTTAATAAAAATTAATTTGGATCTCTTATGTTTATGGTTAGTTTAATTTTGATCCTTCAAGCATTAACTTTTATTAATCTAATAAGAAATTTGACTTTGACATTTAAATAATAAAATAAAAACCACTTAAATGATCGTACGTCATACTTACAAGAAAAAGCAGAAGAAATTCTAAAATTATGAATTCCTCGCCATTTCAGCACCACATAGATCTAGGACTGTAAACGAACAGAGTCGATCTAGAGTACTGATGAAATTAACTCAACTCGAAAGGTATAAAATTTAGCTGAACTCAACTCGAAAACGAATAAATTTAAAATTATCAAGTTCAACTCAATTCAAAAGTCCATAAGCTTAAAATTTTAAAACTCGACTTGGATTTTAAAAAATTTAAACTCAAAACATTCTTAGATTTAACTCAATTGAAGCTTAAATTTGAGCCCGAATCTAAACCACAAGTACATGAAAATTTTATATTATATTTTTTCAACATAAATATTAATTTTACTAATAATTTAATTTAAAAATTAAAAATTAATATATTATTTTTTCGAGTCGCTCTCGAATTTTTCGAGTGAGTATCAAATAACTCGCTTCTACTAATTAAAAGCTTGAGTCAAGTCCATTCAATTTCAGTGTTAATTGAATTTTGTCCTAATCGATCTCGAATAACTCATGATCTATCTCGTATCATTTACAATCCTATCTAGATCAACCCAACGAGTGGTTTTCATGGCTGCAAATGTAGAAAACAAATCATCTCCTTGCTTCATTTCTCTCCCTCTCTCTTTATATCCGATTAGTTTTCCTTTAAAAATTCCTTCCACCGCTAAACAAATGGGGTAACTTAAACAAAGACCGGTCTAGTGAATTGCCTATTCATGACTAACACAAGAAGCAAAAATCGTAAAAACTTAAGCATTGGTGACATAAACCAGAAACGCCGACTCTTTCTATTTATTAAAGACTAGACTTTTGAGATTTGAGTTGATTCGACAATGGCATAAAATTATGATTTTGATGTAAAGAATGATCTAGTTACCACGTGATTACAATAACATATTTCATGGTACCATCTTCGCCAAAATGGATTCCTTTTTGACTCTCTGTGAAGAGCTTTCATTCTGCATAAAATCTAACAGGTACTATATCAACAAATACTCCTTCCGATACTCGCGCACGATCACAGGTACACTCGTGGGAGGGATCTGAGCCACAAAACAATATAATGAATCAAAATCTGCTAATGCAACTAACCTCAGGCAAGCTTTGAGCATCTAAACCATCTAATCCTACCAAGAAAGAAGGGTAAATGGCCAACAAAGTATAAATAAACAATGAACGCAGAGGACTTGGGTATTCCTTGGATTTCAAGGGATGAATACACCTTAATATGAAATCTCCACCAAGGGAAGGAAGATATTTTGATACTACTTACCATGCCGTAATCTGTGACAATCACTGAGATGTAATCTGAAGGAGTGGCATCGTATCTGTTGTGATTCACACCAAGGTAAGAGGTTTAGAGTCATTTAGAGGTCATCATTAAATCAAATAGTTTCTTTCTTTGGAAGAATAGATCTAAAAGCTTACTTTAAATTAAGAAGTTGATGGCTTTCCTTTTGTTTATCAATCAATTTATCCAGATAATTCACATCCACTCTTCCTGGGACCATTGATATGGCATCTGGATCACCTGCAAGGTAGTCCAAAAGGAAGGCTTAAGTTGTCTACTACAAAATAGAATGTGATATACCTAGGAGAAAAAGGAGATTGAAAGTCCAATCCAAGCCTTCTCAAGTCCAATCCAAGCCTTCTCTCTTTTTTGAAAATAAATTTTTCATTTCTTTTTGGAAAAAGGAAGAAGGGAGAGAGTTTTGACCTGTATAAACACCAACATACCTAGCTCATTAAAGCAGATTGAATCAAGCTGCACCCTTTCATGAAATTTATATGCTTCACAGCAGACCAAAACTGGAACATGGAATGCATGAGCAACCATAGCAACAGATGCAGTTCCAACCCTTGAGTATACAGTTCCATTAGAAAATATCGAGGAAGCCCCAAGAAAAACTCGGGTGACTTCATGCATGACATAAGAAATAGCATTTAATTGAGTATAAGTACAACTCAGGCCCTTTGCCACCAGCCTCCGAAGCAGCTTTTGGCCTTCAAGCATCGGACGTGAGTCTACCACCACAACTCGAAACCGTTTCCCAAGCTCATGGGCATACAAAAAAATCATTTCAACAACACATGATGATCCATATGTCAGAAGAACATCGCCGTCTCTGATCTTTGTAGCAGCATGCCTAACTATTACCTTATCAGCAAGAACTATCTTCTCATTTATGAAACGATCAATGTCAGAACAAAGGGTTGCTTTTGCTTCTGATTCAGAGAGAGCTAGTGGTAACCTGGTAATACGACTCTTCAGAAACCTGATTGCATTTCCCATGCTCATAGAAAGTGGGCGGCATTCAATCAGAAAAGAAACAAAACCACCAATTTTGGAAGTTAAATCTCTGTTGAGGGTTTTTTCTGGTGGTGTCGAATAGTCTTTGATAGCTTCCCGGAATGCCTGAAGCATTGCGATACAACGAGCATTTCCTCCTGACAAATCTCCAGTCAAATACTTCAATCCAACCTGAAAATTTCATACAACATAACATTTGCCAGGAAGTCATTTCTCTGTTATCAACTTAAAAGATAGGAAAAAAATATGTTTTATTACTTTCCAAATAAATAGAAACCAGAGGAATTCATGCACCATGCAATAATTAACATGTTCCATCATTCTGATTCTGTTTCCCAGTTCCCACAATATATCCTCACACCAAGTACACCGAAATTTACAGAATTTGAAATAACAGAACCTTTAAAACTTCGAGAAAGAGAAAAACAGAAAAGGAGTTCATGAAGCTAACAAATCAAAGGTTGATGTAGCGTTCTCAACGATAAGTTCGCATTGTCAATGTTATCATTATCCAGGATATTTAGCATGCATCAAATTTTTAAAGGGGAAACATCTACCCCACCACCCCTCTTTTATTTTTCATTTTTGTCAAAATTATAAAATTAAAAGTTAAATTGCAGAAACAGCTACCATAAGGAACTTCCATTTACTTCCCTTTAGACAATTGGTCAGATAGGAAGGCTGAAAAAGCTCAACTTTAACTAAGAGGTAAGAGTACCTTGTACACAGCAGGATGCATCTCATGAAGTTCAAAAAATTTTGATTCCAAATAAGGAAGCTGAGATCCATTTTTGTGTGGCGGAAGATGGCGAAAGAGTTCAACTCTATTCCTAGCTTCAGGTTGATTCAATACAGACCGCCTTTTAGCCTTACCCACACGACTCGCATCATCAAATTGCATACGTGGAGGAGGAAGATCTTTCTTCCTCTCTTTCTCTACTGGCCGATCAACTCCTATTCTTTCAGAAGCAGCAACTGAAGATGCAGCTGGAGGACCATCTTTCTTTTGTGGTGGCTGCTTCATGTGTTTAGAAGAAGCAGCTCCTCCAGGTGTACTGGATTTATTTGCCTCAGCTATAAAATTAAAATTAAAACCTTTTAGTGCCAAGGGCAAAGCTAACAAATTATATGCCAATAGAAAACTGAGTGCAATTGGTCAGAACAAATATAAACATAAAATGAATGTAACAAAACTCATCTTTCATCAAAATCAGAAAAGCCATTGCCTATGTTAACAAATATGAACAAATACTAAGTAAACGCTAACAGACTTCAAGAAGCTATTCAATTCTTGAATGTCATAGGAGTTGAAACCAGAAACTAGTTGAGCTGCTTGCTAATTATTCAAACTTGGCTCATTAGATTAGAAAACAAATAAAGCTAGACTTTGATGATGAACCCGCTTCGTAATATCTATTTCTCTTTCAATGAGATTAGGAACCTCTTACTTTAAGGCAAGGGGGAAAGTTTGCAACTGATTACAATATGAACCAGAGAAAATCGTTTATAATAATCATATATAAAAATTATACGGCATTTGCAATTTAAGACATAAATACAGTTAGATAAATAAGTACAGTATTTATTAATTGTATGGTAATCATTATACCTTGCATGTTTCTTTGAGTCACATGTCATTTCCAACATATTTGTACTGCATCCTTTAGATCTGTTTTCAAATACCCAATCCTAGTCTCTAATGTTTCCCACATCCACCATCAATTTCGCAAATATTACTAATATATGTTAAAACTAACCTACTTTGGGATGAAAGGGACAATCAGATAAACTATATATTTTGTTCAGTTTAATTCAAATAACAGTACTTCAAAGTTACCCATAGGCATAAAATGAAGAAAAGACTGTTTTGAACCTTTAGAAGCAGCTTTAGCAGCCCGTTGAGATTCCTGCAAGGCACGCCTCTCAGCCTTCGTTGTTTTCGCTTTTAGAGGTTTTGAATTTGATGCCTGCTCCTTTTGCGCTTCGCTTTTTTCTGCAATGAAACTTTGTTTTAGGAAACCCCAGTTATTCC